CATGTTTGGTAAGGTGGAGGGTCAGAGAAAAAGAGGAAGACTCCCAGCAACATGATTGGCAAAGTGGCAGCATCAGTGGGCTCAAGTGTGGCAACAGTTGTGAGGTTGGCCCAGAACCAGGCAGTGTTTCATTCTGTTGTACATAAGGTCGCTATGAATCGGTACTGACTCAACGACGCCTAACAACAACAACAACATCTGTAAGTATAGGTACAGTTCCTTAAATTGTAGCAATTTACTCTTGTTTCCTTTATCAAAATTTTTTTATCTTCCTCTAGTCGAGTTCTGATCATCAAGCCATCGAAACTAAGTCAAACACTATGTGTAAGTTTGGGCATTGCTGTGCATCTCCCCTCACTTCATATCAGCTGGATGCTTCACTTTCAGCTCTAGCCCTCCATGGCTATGTCCTTGCCCATGAGCTCAGGAGTTCCCAGGTCTCACCATGCTTCGGACCAACCAGGCTTCTTCTCCTGTCTCTCATCCCCAGCTGGATAGGCGTCTATGGAACGTGGTTGAACTCAGCCCATTTCTTCATTGCTGCCTTTTCCTCTTTCACTCTTTAAACTACCCACTCATCTCTCAGAAGCTTTAACTTTCCACATCTAACCAGGGTCCCCAGGGGGCTCACTCCTGGTTGGCACTTGTATATGACCTGGTGGTTCCAGCTGGGCTCAAACCCTGACTCTGCCCCTATCTCTGTGACCTTGTACAGGCCACTTACATCACTGAGCCTCAGTCTTCCCATCTGTAAACAGGGATAACAGGGGTTCCTGCTTCACAGCATCGTGGTGAGAACGCATCACCATGTCACACAGCGATTTTGAGGCACAGGAAGTGTGTGGTCCCTGCTGCTCATATTCACCATGCCTCTGAGCCCAGCTGCTTCCGCTGACAGAGGGACTCTCCCTTCTGAAACTGCAGCTCTGGGTCTGAAAAATATATAACCACCAAGCAGTGTCTGACTAAGGGCTTCCGCACTGCGTGTCCTCGCGTGCTAGGAATGGGTATGTTAGCAGTCCAGGTGATGCACTCCATCAAGAGTCACGTCCAACCTAGGGCCCCTTTGTGAACATGCGTAGTCTGCTTTAGCCCCTCCTACCTCTGATAGCGTAGTGGTTAAGAATCGGGCTGCGAACCTCAAGGTCTGGCAGTTCGAAACTACCAGCTGTTCCGTGGGAGAAAGATGAGGCTTTCTGCTCCGGTAAAGATTTACAGCCTCAGAAACCCTGTACAGGGTCGCTATGAGTCGGAACCGACTCCATGGCATATAACCACCATCACCACCACCTGGTACATGGGAAACAGCGCAGAGCCAGCTGCCGCGGGCTCCCTACAGTATCCCCACCTATCCATTGAACGGCTGCCGTTTAAAATAACACCTGCCACGTTAATGACGATGTACGAAATACTAAAATAGGCGTACATGGCTCCACTCGCTGTGACTCGGCTTCCATCTGTCACCATTTCACAGAAACAGAAAGGGTTGCAGAAACGCCTGCCTTCCGCTGCTGCCGTGAGTGCTTTGAAGAGATTGCTTGGTGCCCGCGGCCTAGGTCTGCGCAGGGGAGTCTGGGGCCACAAATGCACCGGGGTACCCTGCAGGACCAACAGCTTCGCGGGCCGTGGAGCTGCAACCGTTTTCCTCTTGCTGCTCCAGGGCAAATAAATCTGAGAACCCTGCGCAGACTATCCTGAACACTTGTAGACCCATTCCAATCGTTTTCACTTATTCCAAGCCAAAACGAGGGGTGCCTGGGGATCCCACAGCAAGGGGTGTCAGCTCCAGACTTGTGCCTGCCCTGAGGTTGGGGCACAGCTTCGCCCATCTGCGTGCTGCATGCGCGCCACTCCCCGCCCTGGCGACAGGGGGCGCTGCGTCCTCATCGCTGGCTGCCATCACCGCCATCCTAGGGAGCCCCCAGGTGCCTCCCCCAAGTGCCGCGGTCCGCTCCGGGATCGGATGTGCACCCAAGAGCAGAATGCAGTTTCAAACGAGTCTCATCTCTCTCTCCTCAGGTGGCTCGGCAGCTCCAGCCATCCGTGGTGTGGATCGGGGACACGGAGAAAACCTTCTACAAAAAAGTGCCCAGCAATGAAAAGCAGGTGATGGCGACCCACTGGGTTTCCAGTTGTCCTTTTCCTTCCTCCTTCCCGGACACCTAAACACCTCTGCCCTTACAGCTTCAAAGGACAGAGGAAGTGCAGGGGTCTGGGCCCTCCCCAATGCCTCTCTTGGCTCAAGTCTTCCCCCCTTGAAAAAGTTCAGTGGTGTGATTTTATGAGGCATCACCCAAAAGACAATGAAAGAGGGGACCAGAAATCCAAGTATAGGATGCAGAGGAGGTGGCGCTCTGGGCTGAGCATTGAGCTGCTGATCACAAGGACAGAGGTTCAAACCAGTTCCTTTAAAGATGCCAACCCTGGAAACCATATAGGGATAGTTCTACTTGTCCTATGGGGCTGCTTTGAGCTGTGTTTCTTCCTCAGCTCCAAAGAATGAGTTTGGTTTTGGTTTGAGGTTCAGTAAAACCAAATAGCATTCATGTTGTTTCTGTTATAAGAGCCATAGAGTTAGCTCAACTTGTCAGCTTGAAGACTAAGGTGCGCCTGACCCAAGCCATGGTCTTTTCAATAACCTCATATGCATGCGAAAGCTGGACAGTGAATGAGGAAGATTGTAGAAGAATTGATGCCTTTGAGTTGTGGTGTTGGAGGAGAATACTGAAAGTGCCATGGACTGCCAAAAGGAGCAATAGATCTGTGTTGGAAGAAGCGCAGCCAGAGTGCTCCTTGGAGGCCACAATGGCCAAACTTCGTCTCTCATACTTTGGACATATTGTCAGGAGGGAGCAGTTGCTGGAGAAGGATATCATGTTTGATAAGGTGAAGAGTCAGAGAAAAAGAGGAAGACACCCAGCAAGATGGATTGGCAAACAATTGTGAGGTTGACCCAGGACCGGACAGTGTTTCGTTCTATTGTGCACAGGGTCACTATGAGTCAGTACTGACTCGATGGCACCTAACAACAACAACAGTGACCTTGTATAGAGTTTCTGAGGATTGGCTGGTGGGTTTGAACCACTGACCTTCCAATTATCAATCCAGTGATTGTCTTACAGCGCCACACCAAAATTCTGCCTTTACTTCAGCAGAATAGCTAAATGGTTGGCATTTGTGTCTTCCCCACCCTCCCAGAGAACTCTTAATTAGTTGTTTCCGCCTGTTCTCTTTTGTCAATGGTCCCCTCCCCCGGAATTCCTCTACGTAACTCACCAGCAAATTAACCACCAGTTAATTTTTTTATTGTATTTTTTTTTTTGCAGCTACACATGCTTATTAACCCATACTAATTTGCACCAAAGCAAATAGTGGTTGACTGTGAATCTCTAATTAAATTCATAGGGTTTTAGTCAATTTTGATCCGTATGTAGTAGAAACATTTTTAGTTGGTAGAGATGGTTTTGGTATAGAGATGCTCTCCTGCTATTGCAGAAGCTGTTTTATTATTGAAGCTGGGACTCTGGTAGGTAGCTCCCTCTGCTGGCTAAATTTGCAAATATCCCGGTATTTGCAACATGGATGGCTGCGGTTTGTAGAAATGAGATTATAAATATAAAGTGTTGAATCCAAGATGTTAGAAACCTGAAGCCAACAGATGCTCCGTCTCCAGGAGGGGCAGGGGCTTCATCGGTGGCTGGCTCTCCCACTGGACATCAACATGGGGAGGGGAAGGGGGCTCTACTTTGAGCCATGGGCCCTAGCAAGCAACTCAACCTCTCTGAGCCTCTGCCTCCTTAACTATCCAGTCAACAGGCCAACAGGAGAGTTATTCTAACCCCTGGCAGCTGCAAGAGACTCTAATGTCACAGAGCCACCTTCACCCTCTGTCCCTGGTCCTTTGTTGAGCTGCTTGCCACAAGTCATTACTGCTTGTGCTCACCTGCACACCCAAGTCCCACTCACCTGCACACCCGAGTCCCTCTCACCTGCACATCCAAGTCCCTTTCACCTGCACACCTGAGTCCTTGGAGAGTAACAGAAATATGACCTTTCATTGGTGAGACAATCTAAGAATGGCTGGGGAGGGACCCCAGGGTGGCTTTGAGGGGGTGATGAAGGCAGGATGGAAAGCTGGGTTCAGTGGCGTTCTGGTGCGGTACTGTGGGCTAAGCCCTGGACCATAAGACTGGTCTCAACTGCAAAGTCATTCAAAGGTGAATTCGCTCAGTGGCTAACAAAAGTTGGAGGTTCAAATTTACCCAGAGGCACCTCAGAAGAAAGGCCTGGCTGTCTGCTTCTGAAAAGTCAAGTCATTGAAAACTATGGAGCACACTTCTCAGATCTGTGTGGGGTCACCATGAGATAGGAACAGTAGGGTCTTCAGACATAGCACATAGAGGGAGTCGCTGAGCAGGGCGGGAAGCAGAGCCAGAACCCCCACACCCTCCCCACCACCAGTGTGGCTGACACACAGGTTCTCTGACAACTCTTCGACAGTCGTGGACGGGCCTTGTTCCTGTAGAAAATGACGTTCCTCTGGGTGGTACAGTCTTTGCTGTGAACAATCGGACGTTTCTTCAATTTATGTTTGCATTAGAAGAGTGATGCTGTAGGATAAGCAGTAGACTGGTGCCCTCAAATCACACTGGTGGGTAAACATCACCCACAGAGGGGTCACTGAATGCTCCAATGTCCACCAACTCAACTGCAGGGTTCTGAGCCTTCTCAAAGACAGCAAGCCAGAAGTTCAAGCTGAATTCAGTGTCAACCATACACTGACAGAGAACTTCCAGAGACTCAAGACAGATTCAGAAGAGGACACGGAATGAGGGATATCATTGCTGACGTCAAATGAGTCTTGGCTGAAAGCAGAGAATACCAGCAAGATGTTTACCTGTGTTTTTATTGACTATACAAAGGTTTTCAACTGTGTGTATCATGAAAAGCTATGGATAGATAACATTGCAAAGGATGGGTGTTTCAGAACATTTACTTGTGCTCATGAAGGACCTGTACATAGATCAAGAGGTAGTTGTTAGAACAGAACAAGAGGACACTGAATGGTTTAAAATCAGGAAAGGTGTTTACTAAAGTTGGAGTTGTATCCTTTCAACATACATATTCAATCTGTATGCTGAGCAAAGAGTCGGAGAAGCTGGACTGTATGAAGAACACGGCATCAGGATTGGAGGAAATATGATTAACAACCTGTGATACGGTATGCAGATGATAAATCCTTGCTTGCTAGAAGTGAAGAGGACTTAAAATATTTACAGATGAAGATCAACGACTGCAGCCTCCTCCCTTTCTCTTACCTTAAAGGGCTCCTATCTTGAAAGGACTGTTTATGTAATAGAACCCCTTCGCCACCTCCTCCTTTGAAGACTCTAGATCCACCCTACTGAGGTGAACCCCAAATGTTGCCAAACTTGCTAAGCCTCACCTAAGTCCTGGCAAACTGAACGCTATGCATCCTTCCCGTGCCCTCTGCCACAGACTAGCGATAGGAAGTCCCACCTCCACTCAGATGAGGGAGACAGTCATCAGCTCACAGGCCCAACCAAAATGGGATTTGGAGAGGTATGAAGTAGCATTCAGGTAAGAGCCACAGGACCAGCGTCCGGTCTTTTTTTTTTTAAAAAAAAAAAACACTTTTTTTTCTCCTCATCCAAGACCGAATGAGATGTGGGGCTCAGAAGGACGGTCCTGTCCCACACAAAATACATGGTTCCTGACCTGGTGTCAAGGATATTTATTTAAGTGAATTTTTTACCATCGCTGTAAATGAAATGTCAGCTAATGAGACAGTCAGACGTAGGGAGGTTGTTGTTAAGTTATATCAAGTTGGGAACTTCAAAAAGTTCATGCAAAAGTTTTTCTTTCATTTCTATTATATATACATGTGTGTATGTAGATATATTTTGTGTATATATACATATAGATAACATATTGCATTAGAAAAACAGGTTGTGCAAGTCTCTTTAAGGTGTTCAAGAGCAAAGATGTCACTTTGAGGACTAAGGACACCTGACTCAAGCCGTGTTATTTTCAGTAACCTCATATGTATCTGAAAGTTGGACAGTGAATAAGGAAGACCACAGAAGAATTGATACATTTGAATTATGGTGTTGGAGAAGAATATTCAAAATACCATAGACTGCCAGTAGAACAAACAAATCTGTGTTGGAAAAAGTGCAGCCCGAATGCTCCTTAGAAGCCAGGATGGCGAGACTTTGTCTCTAGTACTTTGGACATGTTATCAGAAAAGACCAGTCCCTGGAGAAGGACATCATACTTGGTAAAGTGGAGGGTCCACGAAAAAGAGGAAGACTTCCATTGAGATGGATTTGGCACAGTGGCAACTGCAGTGGGCTTAAACATAAGAACTAATGTGAGGGTGGTGCAGGACCGGGCAGTACTTCGTTCTATTATGCATTGGGCCATTATGAGTCGGAACCAACTCAATGGCACCTAACAACAGTAGACACATATATTGTATTTGTGTGTGTGTATGTGTGTGTGTGTATCTTACAATGCCACAACAGGACTATGTGTTACGATTCGGTCTGCGAACTGCAAGGTCAACAGTTCAAAACTACCAGCTGCTCCATGGGAGAAAGATGAGGCTTTCCGCTCCCACAAAGATTTACAGCCTCAGAAACCCTGTACAGGTCGCTATGAGTCAGAACCGACTCCAAGGCACATAACAACATCATACGTATGTGTGTGTATATACATACATATGTATGTGTTGTTGTTGTTGTTGTTAAGTGCCATCGAGTCGGGTCCGACCCATAGCGACCCTGTATAGGGTTTCCGAGGGTGTAAATCGTTACGGGAGTAGAAAGCCTCATCTTTCTCCCGCGGAGCGGCTGGTAGTTTCGAACCGCTGACCTTACAGTTCG